GAATTTCAGGTTTAATTTTCCCCAAAAGGTGCTGCTGCTGTCTAACAGGCAGAAGCGGACATGTTCCATATTGGTATAAGGGTACTGAATACAAAGTTCACATACTGTACTTTGATCCTTTGTGTTTTAAGGTAGACACACGCATTTCTTAATATTCTTCCATTTCCTTTTCTTATTTGGGATGAAAACTGAAAAACTGCATAAGCCTTAGCTCCTTGTACCTTAGTTATTGCATTTGAAAAAATTCTTGTCAGACACACGACAAAATTTTAAGTATATGATAAATACACTTTATATAGCAATGAAAAAATACATAGCAAGTTAGAATACTAAGCATATAAAGTATTTCTTCCAAATTTGTTTTGGTAAGATTATGATTCAACTTAAGATCATTTTGTTTCCAAAGGATTATTTTTGTTCCCTTTTTTATTCAGCTACCGTGGAATGCTAAGATCTGAACTGTACCTTGTATAACCCAACTTGAATCTCCTAAGTTCCACAAAATGAAAATTGACACCATTTATAATTCAGCCTGGCTTATTCTTATTACCATTGTCAAGTATGTATTTTAAGAGACTTTCTCCCTTGCCGAAAAGCTCCCCATCTCACTCAGAGCAGCCAAGTGTCACCTCTGGTGGGGTTCTGCAGAGAGCAGGCAAACAGCCCACCGACCGCAGAGGGCTACCAGGAAAGGGACCAGCCTGCAGAACGAGCCCTCCGGAGAGACAGCAGGCGCCTGCGCTCGAGTCTGGGGTCCCTACCTAGCACACCTCCCCCCAAAGCTCTTTTGCCTCCCTCCCCTTTTTCAACACACATCTAGGAAAACGCCATTAATGCCGCTAATATTTTCCACCATCAGAAAGGAAACAGCTGTCCTGGGATTCATGTCAATAGAGGACAAGGGGCATTCAGCCGAGAACAAATGCAAACACTTTGCACCCTGGAGAAGTAAACTGTGTCCTGTACGTATGTGCTATTAATAATACAGGTTGCTATCCATTACCTGGTAGCTATATTTCTTCCTTCCAAGCTGCATGAAGAATCCCTGACTGCCACAGAAATTTATATTAGGAGGGAAGAGAAAAGTGTTTGACCCCAGCATTTTAATCAGCTGCAGGGCTAATTATGGTCAGTCTATTCAGGGACACTACTTTAATTAACCAACATGTAAATAAATACTGTAAGCATGGTGCTTATTAACTTTATGGGGGTTTTTTGCAGCTTGATAGGAGGAACACATCAGGAAGTCCATTCCAGTAGTTTGCATTTCCAAGCATCTGTGACATTTCAAGAAGAAACTGAGGACGGTGGTTGAAGACCCAAAATACTGTTCTTGATAGTTAGCTCCAAAGCACAAAGAGAAATAATAAATTTGTTAACTTGCAGGAGATATTTTTACTTTATGGCATAGGTAAGGAATGATATTTTACTTCTTTCTTCAGTGAAAGATAGAAAATTCATAGTAATTTTTCTTTTTTTTTTGAAGAAAGCAAAGGTGAAGAGTGTACAACACTTTTTAAATGAGGTAGCTGTTGCACGCAGCTTTCAGTAAAGATAATATCCTCTAATTTCTCCCCCTTCTTTTTCCCTTTAAATGGGACATGAAGTTTCTTCCTACCAAAGACTCACTGAAATGTTTACCAAATATGGAATCATTAAACAATGGAACTATTTTTGGAACACAAGACACATGCTGGTGAAAAATAAAGACAGTACAGGCTCATTATGCTTTGAAAAAAAGAAAGCCCAATTAAAGTTCAATGGCAATATAAAATGCCTTATTACTCAGGCCTTATCTTCATAGAAGAGAAAGAGCCATGCAAATCAATGTAATACATTTTCAAAGAGATTAAAATTAGCCTGCATGTTTCAAGAAATACATTAGAAAGTCATACGAGTAGAAAAGACAGAGATGCTGTATTTAGATTAAATTACTGCAGAAAAGAAAAATTATTTCAGAAAAGAGAGAGAAACTTTCAAAATGGAGGAGTTAATTCTGTCCATACTAAATCTTAACTCAGGAGAAAGGCAGCATTTGAGCAGTTCTGTCCTTGAATTGTATGTAATCCTGATCAGCAGTGGAAGAAATAACAGCATCAAGGTATAACTCATTTTAGAACCAATCAAGTTTCCCTAAGTTATTGGGACAAAACCTCATTTGGTAAGCAGTAAAAATTATCAAAAGACAGGCTCAGAATTACAGGATTTAAACTTCTATAAACTTGTCAGGTTCAAAAACACTCCAGAACCCAGTTTCAAAGATGCAATTAACATGTATTAACATTATTTTTTATTACAGAAGGGATCTTTTAAGCTGTCTGTAAATAAAATTCACCTTGCCTATAATGGAAAAAAAAAAAAGGTCGCAAGTATTTAGAGCAGCTTGTACATGAATAATCTCAAACCTTTTATTTCAAAGTTTGCATAATTTGTCAGATAAAAGAATAAAAGCTTTGCAAAGGAAAAAGATGATCAGAACAGCAGTTCTGAAAAAAAGTATTATTTGCTTTTATTTAAATCTGTCTATCACTTCTCAGCTATCTATTCAGCATTTTTATTATCCTGAGGTTTTATGCAAAAAATCAGAATTTGGATTTCAATTACATAGATAGCCACTGTAAGTAAAGATATATCATCAGTTTAATAAAATATATATAATGATAAATTTTTAGGCATAATTATATAAAATGGTCCCCCTGTCTGCTATGCATCATCCTCAGTCTATCAGAAAAGGAGAAAAAATTCTGCATGGGAAAACATACTATTTTAGAGACTAAAAGGGAGAGGAGAAAATCTTTTCTGCTTTTCTCCATTTACCAGGATGAAGCAGTAAACACCAAAAAGGGGAAAAGCTTAATTTCACATCTTTACTAGCATACAGCAGTGATTTGAGAAAAATTAATCAATCCTTTTTCCTTGGATAATGAGATAAGAATAGAGGTGGAATCGGACAAATGGAGATTACTTTGCATGTACCGCAAGCAACGCAAATGATTATTCCGTGCAGCCCCCCAACACCCCAGGAGCTGCAGATGCTGAGGAGCTCCTGAAGCGGTAAAGTAGCAGCTAAGGCAACGTCTCCAGGGGAGTCCTATGGCTGACCATAAACTTGATGAACATAAAGTGCCATTTTGACTCATGAGGGCAGACTCAACTAAGTCTTCTAATGCATTTTCTAATTACTTTAAGAGTTACACGGATGAACCACAGCTGTACATGAAAGAACCTCTCAATCTCTTGTTAGTCTAACCCAAATTGTTGCCGAGCTGGATATAGGAGGAAGACTCCATTCCAAAGGATTGCCAGCAACAGCTCCATGGCTTTGCCTGCACAAACACCTCTGACAGCATCAGTTTCCTTTCATGCTCCATCACTACACGTGGTGAGACTCCTACCTGGGAAACGACTGTCAGTGCACAGAATGCACCTTCAGAGAGCACCTCGCATGCTCTTCTGTAGGGTGCAGCTGTCAAAATCAGAGCCTAAAACAACAGAGCTGTCCCCTGACAGATTTTTTTTTTTGAGAGCTAGGCTTGTTCAGTCTGAACCTTTGCCCACTCTCAAAACCCCTCTCTAAAAAAGGCACAGCAGCATTTCTAGCAATTAAAACTTAGTTAATTGGCTCCCACTGAATTTTAAGTCCATTATTTCTGAAGACATCCATACAAAATTGAAAGTTTAGAAATATAGTACATAAAACTGCAGAACCTACTACTGTGCAATCATTGATTGTGCAGCTGTTATTAAATGAAAATAAATCAAATGCTTATGAGGTATTACGTAGGAAAGGCAGAAAGTAACAAAAATGTGTTAAAGATGAAAAGACCATAAAGGATTAGCCACCTAAAAAAAAAATTAACCACAAATTGGAGTAAATCTTTTCTCTCCTTAAAAACATTTACCCATTATATTTAATATCTGACCTACAAGTAGAAAATAATAAAAAATAATATCTTCTCAAGTAATCCAAATCAGTTGAAAATTTTGCCCAAGTAGCTGAATTAATTGTTCCATAAAATAGAAGTATTTGATCTATTATAGAGTAAATTACAGTAAAATATAATATTATGACATAGTAAATTGATATCTCATTACATTCAAGAGAGACATGTAACAAGCAACAACAGAGGCACACTTGCACATTCACACCCACGCAGTGCAGTCAAGGTCTATACGTGTACTGGTAGCAGATAATATGTGTCATTCCTGGAAATGATCTGGAGATGGACAAACAGGGTAAGAAGGAACAGCATAACATGGGCCACACACACGAGTTACACTGGCAGAAAGCAGGCAGGCTAGAAGAAGAACCTTGAGGGCAGCTCTGGTTCATCTGGAGAACGCCCTGGCCTCCAGGATGGACCCTGGAACAGCAAGATACTTCTACATAACTTAAATTGACCCCATGGAGGACAGACTATCAAAACATTGTTCTCCATTTTTCCTTGAACAAAATGATCTGTCAATTGTGTTTCTTATAAACCTAGTGGTTGAAGTCTCTCGGGCACAGGCCTGTAGAAGACAAACAGTGTCTATAAATGTAAGACCTGTTCAGCTAGCTGAAAATTTTACAAGACTGGACTACTCGGAACATATATTCATTACTTATTCTTGAATTACTGGAGTAACAATGAGGAAAAAAAGAATTCAGCTTGAAAATAAAGCTACAACACACCTGACATAGCCTGAAAAAATTGTAAACAGAATATCAACATTCAAAATAGAAATAAAAAGCTAAAACAAATGCAAACTATATAGTAAAATAATAACCATGTTTTGAAGATGAAGTCTTAAATTAGGTCTTCACTATGAAAACGGACGTTGACCTGACACTTCCAAATATACACCACAAGTACATAAATATCTGCAGCAATTAATCTTGAACTATGTATTTAAAGTGTAGCATATTTCTTCAGTTTATACCTCTTATCTAGACAAAAAATCCCTCAAACTCTTACTATATAAATGACAAAATATCTTTTATTGACAATAAATGCTCTATTACCTTACACATAATAAACTTGGTCAATTTTTCATTCCAATAGAAATTCAGTTTCCCCATTAACTCCAGTTATTATCATAAAATTATACAGATACACACTAACAAAAAATTCACTTTAATATACTCATTATACAGACTGAATACAAAACTTTTAATATTAAAGTATGTCATAGGTATAAATGAAATCTGTATCCTTTTAAATGTTTCTTTTCCTTGAGAGTTTGAACATGCTAGATGCAAATATGCTTTTTTCCCCCCACTGTGATGATTAATAGAGGCAGAGTACAAACTGCATTACAATAAATAAATGAAGCATTGCTTTTTTCCTCACTCCCTGGCTTCATGATTCTGGTAAAACGTGATGTTTTGATGGCTTCAAGATTCAAGTTAATTATGGAATTTCTATATAAATTTATACCATGAAGTACTGCAAAATCAAAATAAATATAGGTGTACTTTATATTGCATGTATACTTGAGTTGTAGGTGAACAATTCCTCCAACAAGGATAGAGGAAGACATACCCATCCGTGTCAGATTTAAATGACATCTAATAAAAATCAATAAGCTTCAAAATATTCAGGAAGCAATCAATAATGCACAGCCCAAATGATACCATTTTCCATAAGTCTACCAACCAGTTGATTTTCATCAGTGAAGATGTTTTCTGAAAAATTCTTAAGTTCTTAATTTCTTGACATTTCAGATCACCATAAAGTAAACATCAAATCAAATGAGACAAATTACAATGACGAATGTTCAAACAATATGACCTGTGCCTGACTTTCGGATGCTGTTCGCTTGAGCAGCCTAATTTGATCGAGTTCTGAATGCCCCACTGAATTCCGAGTTAGAGACTGCACTGGGTCACTTATGTTGTATCTGCCAGGCTGATAAAAACCGTAATATTCTATTCTCTTTTCCCCTGAGTTTTCTAGAACCTTTAGTTTCTGCCTAAACTGAATAACTTTACAGGTTAAGAACAGGATCACAGCACAAGCCAGAATAAAAAAGGCTAGTAAAATGTCAAAAGCCTGATTCAGGTTTTCAACCTGTTGTGAACAAAGTAGGGATGTCTGTAATGACACAGGAGCAGCATCTGTTGGCAATAACCCTTCTCCTAGGGTTCTGTTAGCAGGTATACCCTGCGCTGGCATTCGCACAGGTACTGTTGACACTACTGTAGTTGCCCGTGATGGAGCCTCAGCAGCATTTTCACCAAAGGTCAGTGGGTTAGCAGATGTAGCTGCGGTTCCGTCCCAGAGAGCAACATGTTGAGTTTCTGCACTGACAAACCGCTCAAGCGCGTTGCGCCCGTTCCCCTTGTGCCACGCCATCAGCACAGTGGCAGGGCTGTGACGGACACCTACGGACCCCAGACCCCAGGCTGTCCCCGGGCTGGCCGTGGGGCTACTGCAGTTTGCAAACTGAGTCCACTTGATGTAATGCAAAGGTCTACCACGCATACTCAGGGGATTCTGACAATGAATTTTTACAGAGAGAGGAGACGATGCCAACCAATTCAGTAACCCAAGCATTTTGCAGCTGCAGTTCCAAGGATTGTAATTTACCTGTAAATGCGTTAAAGACACTAAGGGCTTGAGCACTTCAGGTTGCAACTCTGTCATATTATTGAATGCTAAACTGAGTATTTTAAGTGACTGACCCATTTTTTCAAAGGTCCTATCAGCAATGCTGGTTATTTTATTTCTGTCTAGCTGCAGATACATTAAATTGTTCAATAAAGTAAAAGTGCTGGAATTGATATTTTCTAAATCATTATAACTTAAGATTAACTGGCTGAGGTTGTTTAATCCAAAAAAAACATTTACAGCAATACATTTTAGCTTTACATTTTTTAAAGACAGATATCTAAGCTTGTTAAGTCCTTTAAATGCAAAAGGATGTATTGATCCAATGGGATTGTGAGACAAAGAAAGTCTTTCAAGATTTTTGAGCCTTCCGATAGCATTCGATGGCACAAGTGTTAAGTTGTTACCTTCAAGGAACAAATATGCAAGGTTTTCAAGATGATGAAATGCTGAATCTGATATCCGTGAAATCCTATTATTGGCTAGGTTAAGTGTTTGGAGACTTATCATTCCCAAGAAAGTCCCACTTCCAAGGACACTGAGACGATTTCTTTGAAGTGTTAAATATCTAACAGAAAGAAGATCACTAAATAATCCCCTGGGAACAAAAGCTATCTGATTATTCTGAAGGTATAAACAACGAAGATTGGAAAGACCTTGAAAGATTCCTGGATCCAGGCGTTTAATATTATTGTTATTTAGATGCAAGTAGCACAGTTTGGGGAGTTCCACAAAAGCTTTTGGGTGTACATACAGAATACTGGAATTATCCATGTGGAGTGCAGCAAGCTTCTGAAGGCCTCTCAGTTCATTTGGAGTAACACGCGATATATTATTCCCACTGAGGTACACAAGAATTGTCGTTTTTGGAAAGTTCCACGGGACGCTCGAAAGCCCTAAATTACGACAGCTAACTTGTCTCCCTGTGCAGAGCTGGCAAGCAGCTGGACAGCCAAGAGCCTCCTTCTGGAGCAGCAACAAAAGAAAACAATTAAGGATATACAGGAATGCTCCCGGGCAGGGTGGAGAACTTTGCAGACCACACATATCCCTGTCTTTGGCCTTCTCACTCATCTCTGACTTTGCTAGTAGAAATAAAAAGAAGTTTATAAATATTATTAATTTGAATGTTTAAAGATTCTATGTGTACAGTTGTTTAAAATACAAGTATCGCTCTCAAGATTGGTATTCTGTATATTCTCCTTCGATATGAAATAAATGGTTTAAAAATAAAACTTATGACGTTTAAACTACACCGAAAAACTTTTCAAAGTAAATAAACAACTAAACAAATGTACTGCCAGCCTAGCCAGAAAACATTTAATTGGTTGCAACATGAAAGCAACTAAGCTGCCAAAATAGCGGCTTCTAGTAAATTCAAAATACTGCTTATTAACTATTTTTTATAGCTAAGAATGACTAGGAAATGTTTCAACAGCATTCAAGTAGAAATGCCAGCTGGAAACAAGCTTCTTTTCACTGGAGGCTCATTTATAATTTGAATTTTACTTTTATAAAGCTCAATTACATTCAAAATAAATAAAAACAATTCCTTACCCCAAATCTGAAGTTCATTATTTCTGTTATCTTGTGGTTTTGCAGTTCACTGGGCTACAAGTTACAAGCTGACTGACTACATTCATTTGTGAAACCTTTGTAAAGGCAGTACTGCTGCATACTGCAGTGCTCACATTTTGCCCCAGGATTTGCAACTGTTCGCTCAGGAAACTAAGGCAGAAGTGGTTAAAGTCAGGTTGCCATGGATACAGGAAACCCTGGGACAGGAAGCCATTTTATCTGTGCTTCAGAAGTATTGTTGGAAAGGAAATCTCAATGATTTGTTTCTAGAAAACCAAGAACTATCTTAGTTTGTAACTGCTGCTGGTTTTGTTGTTGGTGTGTTGTTTTTTTTTTTAAAGCTTCTGTTTTTAACTAGGAGGGCTCAAGAAATTTTTACATAAACTAGGTATAACTTTTAGAACAAAGCATACCTATTTGTAACAGCACTACTGCACTATCCGCGAGTCCTTTATCTTTCAGCTGGAATGTGAAATGTTTTACTAGATCAATACCAACACACACACTGTTCTCTCTCTGCAGAGCCAAACTGCTGCCACCACACAGACGGCGGGTCCATCCGAGAGGGAGAAGCTGGAGTCTGCAGGGCAGAGCCCAGGTGCCCCCTGCACGGCACATCCCGCCGGCAGTCCCCGGGAAGCTCAGGAAGTTCTGGAGACGAGAGCTGCCTGATGCGGTACCACTGCAGTTCTTCTGTTTCAGATGGCACCCAGGCACTTTGTCAAGTCTCACTTTAGGCTACCTTCTTTTAAAGCCAATTTATCAACAGAGGACTGTATATCCTGACAGCCACACCTTTGGTCAACAGCTTTCATTTCCTGCAGTGGCCCCTGTGCGGATAAACACTTATAGTGCAAACGTGTGCTATAAATAACCCCCTCGCTTAATTACCGGAGACTACATCCTCAGTTTATCCATCACAGGGACTAAATACCTACAAAGACCAGTCACGTCACCAAAGGGGTAAAGCAGAAACAACAAAAAAGAGAGATGGTAAATTACGGATTAAGCCTACAAATACCAATGTAACTACAAAATCATCATTTATATTGTAACAAGACATTCAACTCAGCAAAATGAAGATTAAAAAGCCCATCAGTAGCCATAGCCAAGGAAGAAACAAAACCGCAGAAGAATCAAGTCACTTCGGCCACAATGATCTCACACAGGAAGCAGGAGTTCACATAAAGGTCGAAATATCACCCAAATATCTTTGTCAGCAACAACTGAAGCTGAAACACTTGAAGCATACGAGGCAATGGAAGTGCAACAGCTTTTGAAGAGGCTTTCTTCCAAATTCTGCCAAAAGAAACTCAACATTTCTGGAGTTCTCAAAAAACCGTTTTCGACCCTAGAGCTGGCTTTTTATGTCAGAAACCTGTAAAACATTCAATATTAAGAGGAATACTCTGTCAGTTTTTCAACTTCAGCTCCCCAAAATCACCAAGAGTTGGGATGGTGGGGAATGTTTAAATAAGAAAGACAAAAATAAACAACCTTCAGTTCTGTCAGTTAATATGTCTTACCTATCTAGTCTAAAATAAGAAATCAGGAGGACCATTAAAATTGCTCCATGGGCCACTTTAGACAAAGCCTGCATCAGTTGCAGCCCAGAGTGCATTTGAATTGCATTTGGTTCCTTTTTCTGAGACCATTAAGACAATAGGAAAACTAATTGCTCTTTAGATTTAACTATTTATTTTCACATTTTAATTTTTCACGATATTTAAAATAACAATTGATATAAAGGAAAGGAAAATAAAATGGCATGTCATTTCCTTAATGGGAAAACACCGCATAGTTTTGAACAGTTCCTAGGATGATATCCCGGATATGGGGAAGAGAACAGTAACAGCAATTGAAAAAGATCATCCATGTTAAATAGTCAGCCGAGGAGAAAAACACAGATTGACCAAAAATGAAAAATTACTTCAAACTGGAAATTATCTCCTACCAAAGCTTCAATACCTGTAGCCTTATTTAGGCTGATATTTACTTGGGTAAAGAAATAATTAAAAATTATTCCTTGCAAGATCTGCTGTGTGAAACAACCCCATGGGGCTAAAAGAAGCAAGTCCCAATTAAAAAAAAAAAAAAATTTAAAAGACAAATATTAACAGATCTCCCTTTTCCCCAAAATACCAGAATTAACATATTTAGAAAGACTGAAGGAGTTGCTGAAGGTCTGTGGGATATCAAATGGCATGGAAATTTAAAGAAACCAATAAAGTAGCAGCCAGATAAATGAAAGTTGGTGCCCAGTAAGTGGCTGAATGTCTCTGTGGTCTTGTACTAAAGGTACCTTATCAATATTAGTAAAAATTTTGATCAAACCCTAGCCGCCACTGTGTTTCTGGGCGCACTGCTGACCTTCTTGGTTCTCAGATCCAATGCACAAAACGAAGAAGAAAAAATCTTAATCCAGGCCATGGCTCCTTTCAATTTGTACTGGGAAACCTGGAGAAAGTCCTGTGTTGCCCTTTGTTAGTATGGCACCTGGAGGCCTGCAGATCCCATCAGATTGTAATTTACAGGTATTGCTTCATTAATACTATACACTGTTGGAGTATCTGAAAGCAACATCTGTTACGAAAGAGAGGCAAAATAACATGCCATGTAACTGATACCATTTTGGGGAAAACCATGAAAAAAGACTGGGATACACACACAGCACAGACTGGTATTTCTCAAACTGTCTTGTACTTAAACAAGAAAATTCCTTACTTGAAAACTCTAAGGAAAACACTTAAAAGCCAAAAACCCCAGGCACTTATCTCAAGCTTAGGAAGATCCAATAGTGGTAAATTTTATTCACTGCAAATTTTGTTCTCCAGTGACAGAAATACCATGTTTATCTCTGAATCCAGCTTCACAAAGCAACAAAGAAAATTGATTTTTGAATTCTGAAGTGAACTTTATCTTAATATGCTAACATTTATAAAGTTACTAATGTCATTGCTTTTTAACATATTAAAATCTACTCCAGCAATGACTCTATGTCAATACAAGCATGAAATCTGAGTAACAACAATTTGTCAAATTGTGCATAAGACGACAGGTCAAAGTAACTGAAAGAACATGCAAGCACTGCACTCAGTGCAGCCCTCACAAACCAATTCTATTTTCTCACTGATCCATGTTACATTAAAACAAAATAATTCAGGTATGAGTATTATCTAGCACAAATAGTCACTCAACTCCAATTTATGTAAAGCAAAAAATCACGCAACAAGTTCAAAAACAGGTTCTAAAGTTACCCATCCATGAAAGGTATTAAGGACAAATTTTGAAGAGGGATTTCATTCTCATAATCACTACAAAAATTTTAAAGCTCACAAAACAGAGGAAAACCATTTTTTAGCACTGTAATTATTCTTTTGAGCTTATATGAGTGAAATTATCTGTTGCCCTCCCACTGTGTATTTAGCAAGTACTTCCTCTTGCAGGTCTTCCTTCCTTCTGCTTTAATTCACCACAGGTGAGCTATGATACAACTTTCTTTTGTTTTCAACTACCTACCACCTTCCGCCCACATCATTCTCCAGCTATGACTGTAAGTCAAAATAATTCAGCTACTAACCTACTGCTGTGGCAGCATACACATCATCATCCAATCTCGTTTCACTTAACACCCAGAAACTCCTGATACGGTCACCTTATTAATGTTAACTTGTCAGACCTCAAAACCCTTTCTGTTTTTCTCATTGTCATGCATATTATCTCAAAATTTCTGATTATCTCAAATACTGTAGACTCCTCCTAGTATTTAATATTCGTGCCTAAGTAAAAAAAAAAATCTTGATTTGCTGGTTCAGTTGTTGAAAATTTCTCTGTTCCACAGACTGCTAATCCACTCCCATAATAGCAACCGTGATAGTTACAAAGGGGAGACACAGGCACAGAAATTGTAATACCAAATTAATAACCCAGCAAAACCATTCCTGTTTAATAAACCCACAGTACTAAACATTTGTATATGTAAACATACATCACAAAATCTATTTCAAAATTATGATGCTGTCTTTGTAACTTATTTTCCTTTTTAACCTTGGCATTTATTATTTTTTATTAAATTATCAGGCAGTTTTTGCAACATGCTGAGAAATAGCAAGAAGTGAAAACTACAGGATTATTTTTCCCATTGAGGATAAGGAAACAAGTTTCCCTTCTATAAGTCCTATTTGGCTCTAGACTCCAGTAAAGTAATATGACAGAAAGCTCCTATGAAAGTGAGAGCTCACTCTGAGAAACTGTTAGTGTAAATTTTCCATCTAGTAGTAAATAATTATTACACCAATGAACTGCATTTTTCATGCAAACTGACAAAAAAATGAAGTCTTTAAGGAGAGAGCACTAAGACTGTGTACAAAACAAGAACTTGGGTGTGTTGGTGGATGAGAAGCTCAATGTGACTCAGCAATGTCTGACTGCAGCCCAAAAAGCCAACTGTATCCTGCACCACATCAAAAGAAGAGTGGCCAGCAGGTGGAGGGAGGTGATTCTGCCCCTCTGCTCTGCTCTGGTGAGATCCCACCTATAGTACTGCGTCCAGCTCTGGATTCAACAGAGGAAGGACATGGACCTGTTGGAGTGGGTCCAGCAGAGGGCAATGAAGATGATCAGAGAAATGGAGCACCTATGTTGTGAGAACAGGCTGGAGAATTGGGGTTGTTCAGCCTGGGTAAGAGAAGGCTTCAGGGAGATCTTATAGCAGCCTTCCAGTACCTGAAGGGGCCCTACAGGAGAGGTGGGGAAGGGCTCTTTATCAGGGAGGGGAGTGATAGGACGAAGGTTAATGGTTTTAAACTGAAAGAGGGCAGAGTTAGGCTAGATATTAAGAAGAATTTCTTTACTGTGAGGGTGTTGAGACACTGGAACAGGTTGCCCAGGAAGCTGTGGATGCCCCATCCCTGGAAGTGTTCAAGGCCAGGCTGGATGGGGCTTTGAGCAACCTGGCCTAGCAGGAGGTGTCCTTGCCCATGGCAGCGGTGTTGGAATTAAGATGGTCCTTAAGGTCCTTTCCAACCCAAACCGTTCTATGGTATTTCGTCTTTAGCCTTTACTATTCACTGCAATATTTAGTAAACTCTGTTCAAACAAAGGAGTAAGAAATCTACTCAATATGAATGTATTTCAAACCAAAATGTTTAAAGAACTCAAACCAAAGTTATTTCCCAAATGTCAACCAGAATAACTAATTCACCTTCCAGAAATTGAA